AGTGCCACAGTGGCTCTTCGACTCCTTCCCCATCCTTCTGCCTTTTAGTGAAACATTGAAGTGCGATAACACCTGTTATTTTAAATTTGGGGTTTTTTTCCGCTCCTCAGGGCGGAGCTTTGCATGCAGCAGGCAGTTTGGCTTTGGTAAGCTTTGACTTCTGAAGACTTCTTTTCCGGTGTACACGCTCAGATTAGAGGAAGTTTGAGACTGTTTGAGTCCTGGCTCTTTCTGACAAGAGGCACAATTGCATAATTACACACTCACAAAGTTCCTTTCTGGGGGTAAAGCTGTTCATGTAACAAAGAGCTCTGGAGGGAATGGAGAGCAAAGGTAACTGTTGCCCCCAAATTACTCCTTCTCTCTCTGACCCAGACGTTGCTGGAAGAAGTCAGAAATTAAGCAGAAGGAAATTTTCCCCCCTTAATCCCCTGGTGCCGCTCTGTATCGCTGAATTGGGGGAAATGGCCATTGCGGTGGGGAATGAAAGAGCATATTGTGCTGCTGCCGCCTCCTCGTTTCCCTTGCGTGTCCCCTTCCCCATCATGCCCTCAGCCCCCAGCCCGAAATCTGGAAAGAGGCTTTGCAAGTTCCACTTCAATATTTCAGACGGCTACAATGGATTTTGCAGCTCAATGTTAAGTAAACAGACCTTGCTTAAGCCTGGACTGCTTCATTTTGACTAAACCCTAACTAAATAAGCTAGTTTCATGAAGCACAGGCCTCCCAGCTTATTCCTTGCTTCATTAACACCTTTTAATCCCGTCGAGACCATCGTATGCCCCCCAAATTACCCTTCCCAGGCTTGGGTCAGCATCTTCTCTGGGCCACAGCAGGTCAGAGAGGTTCTCAAATAACTTGCTGCTCCGCTCATCCCCATCTGGAGAGCGGGGAGCTGGGCTGCTGCTTCTCCTGCAGAGCCATCGGCAGAGCCAGCGGTGCCCTAAGCGGTGACAGGGGCGATCAGCAAGGATTAGCGGAGAGTTGGGCGCTGGGGTGTTTTACCAGGACTAAAGTCTGATAAATTAAGTCCCTGAAATGGCTGAAAAGATGTAGAGAGATCTCAGGGCTCCTCAGCTGGGTGCCAAAGCCGGACAGACACGCGTGGTCACTTCGCTGTGATTCCTCTTCCCACTGCTCCACGCTTTGAAACTTCATTGAACCGAATTTACATGCTGGGCCCTCCCCAACTGTTTTGTAATTAAAGGAAAAGTGGATTGTTAATGGTAAAAAAGAGAGGGGGATGCTGTAGGTAGGGTGAGGGGATTAAATCAAGAAATAGGTTTTCACAGAGTACGTAACCCCTTGCTCCCGGATGCTGGTTGGGACCAAGATTTCAGCGAGCATCACGAAGATGCTGGGCTGAGAGAGAAATAAATAGAGAAATAACGTTGGGGCTTCCAGGGAGTTGCTGCCCGTGTCCCGCAGGCCGGCAGCACTCAGCCCTTTCGGCAGATGTGCCAGCTGTGCAGCCCCAGGGCCGGCCCCGAGTACCTCCCGGCAGGAGGAGCGTGGGCAGCCGGCGGGTTTGGCCTCCAGCCCGGCGCCGGAGCGCTCTGAACATACCCTGTGTCTTCATCCCCGCCCGGGTGACACGTGCTGTCTCCGAGTTGGCAAACGCTCCAGATGTGCTTGTCCTCTGTCAGGCAGCTGCCAGGCTGCTTCTGCACCCCCCAGCGCCGGTTCTCTTGCCTCGAGTGTCCGTCAGGGTGACAAAGCGGCTGCCAAAACCTGTCCCTGTCACCCCGAGCCTCTCTCGTGATGCTGACTGGTGAGTAACTGCTCCTCTCACTCCAGAGCCGCCGCCTTTGCAAATCCCAGAGATGTTCCCACTTATAAGCCCATCTGCCTTCCTGCTGCTGACACTTTTTCCATCAAGGTGAGCCCTCCCCTGGCAGGAAAATCAAATTCTATCATTCTATCTAATTACCTTTGCAAAGGTAATTAGAGGCAAGCTGGTAAGAAGGACGTGGGATATGTACCTGCGTGAACCCGCCTGCCTCTGCTCGCTGGATGGCTTCTGAACATTCCCAGGGATAAAAGTTGATAGCCTTAACACATCTCCTGTCAGGGCATCTGGAACAGAAATCAAACTCAGCTGGGAGTTTGAGGAAACCAGGGTGTTAATTCAAGGATGTGGGGAGACTTGGTCAAAACACAAGTGGAGGCACGTGGACTATGAGGCTCAGGAGGCATTACGGGTCTTTCCAACCGGCGTGGGACAGAGTTGTTGAGAGTCACAGGCACTTCCAAGTGGTCCTGCTGGGGCTCTGCTCTTCTCCAGGAGCACGCAGAGGTCTCCCTCGTGTCACTGCTGTGCCTGAACGCGCTTTTCGTTATGAACCTGGGAACCCGCTTATTTTTGGGACTGTCCCTCAGCGTAGCTTCTGCGGGCAGCCGCTTCTAGACATCGTGTAGCCGCATCCACAGAGCCTCCCAAGCCTCCTTGTAACCCACTGCCAGCAACGGAGATGTATTTTGTTCCTATGGCAACCCAAACAATATTACCTTGACTTAAACGGATTCAGGCAATATTAAAACCAGCCTCTTTAGGAATTCCTGGTGTTGGAGGGGCTGAGAATTTTAATTTTGTGTAATGCGAGCTGACACCGTGTTTATGAGCTGCTTGCTGAATGTTTTCTTCAATTAGTACAAAGCAGAGCGGATTTGTTTTCAGGGCTTAGCTGGGAGATGGGAGGGTGCAGGCCTTGCGCTGCCAAAAGCGTTATTGAGTTACGCTGCAGTGGCGGCACTTCCCTCACCTGATAGCTGCAAAAAAAGCCCTTTTCATGCAAATCTGGCACATGACAGCATCTTTAAATAAGGCTTGCTAAAGGCCTCGTCCCAACAGCGGCAGGAGGAATGGGCTTGGTGCTTCGCAGGTGACTAGGTCTCCTTTCCCGGCTCCGACATCTGTTTCCATGTTTCCTTGTTCTGCTCCATCCCTCTCGCTGTCAGCCTGCCCCCAGTTAGGAGCACATCATGCTCAAAGCTTTCCTCTACCTACCTTGGCTAAGCAAAAAGAAAAAAAAAAATCTGGACATTTTCCACAAGCAACCAGCAATATCACTGAGGTTAGAAATATTAAAGGACCCAGGGAATGTCCAGAATCTATACGGATAAAAATAATTAAGAAAACACAATGAAACAAGACAGAGAGTTTTCTACCAGTGTTTTCCTAAACTATCCTCTTCCTTACTCAGAGTCAGGTTGGGATATTGAAGTAAAGCTTCTGTTTGTCCAGTCTACATTCTTAATGTGTCTGTCCCTGGATTTGGGGCTCTGGGGTGGAACCAGCTTGGCCCGGGTGTGTTGCAGGAGTAAACCTGTCTCTGAAAGACACGGTAAGACCAGGTGGGAGCACGGGGCTTGTCTCAAAGTCGAGTGGTATTTGTGTCACTAGATTCAGCTACACAACAGCAAACAGCAAAGCCAGGCAGACCTTTCTTCGGGGACGGTAATTCTCCCAGCTGAGATGCAAAGGAAAGTCAGCACTCACTCCTAAACCAGTTGTTTGAAGGACAAGGGACAGAAACCTGGCAGGAAGAACAGCTTGATTACCCACAATCGGCATAACTAATGATAAGTGGCTCTCAAGAAGAGAAAGACATGACAAAGTCTAGTTGCTGGGCATGGAAAAAAGTAAGATTCCAAGTGGAAATAAGGAATGAGAAGCTAGTTGGCCTCTAGAACCTCTTCCAAATGGATGTGGAAGATCCTCCATCCCTCAGAGCCCCCAGAGAGCGGCTGGCTGCCCTTTGCTGCACATCCAGGCCCAAGGGGGGAATCCCTGGGTGAGAGCCTCTGGGTCGGGCTAGATCACCATGATCTTCCATCTGGGCTTAAAGTCCAGGAACATGAATAACTTAATGTTTAGTAGTATGTGACATGGTCCCGACCGATCCCAGATAGCCATGATCGTGGGCTGGCTCCGTTGGTGGCTCCTTTTTATTCTTTTTACTATTTCATTTCTGCTGTAACAGAAGGATGTTGGTGTTAGGAAAGGCACAGATTTGGACTCAGCCCAGATTCGGACTGGGATTGTTCCTGGAACATGCTCCTGGTTTGCTCCTTCGTCAAGACAGCGCGAGGTTGTGGTTAAAAGGCTGCTCTTTACTCCCAGCTTTTCCAACTCACATTCGACTCTTATTTTTCAAGTGTGAATTACAGGAAGACAAAGAGGAAGAGGGGGGAGAGAGAGAGAGAGAGAGAGAGGGAAGGAGAGGGGAACATGCACACAAACACACTCACACAAAGGAGAGAAATCCCACACCATTCCAGTTGGAATGTCCCAGACACTTCAGCCGAAAGCCACCGCACAGCACAAATCCAGGGTGGTATTTGGAAGGGATGAGCCCACCCCTGTAAGCCTCTTCATCCTGCTCCGCAGAGTTTGCCAGGAGGATTAACCCAGTCTTGTTCTCAATCCCAGTTTATGAGTTCCCTGCTGGTGGGGAAGATCCTGTGTGTTTAAACAACAGCCTAATTAATCCCTATTTTATTACTTTCTCTTGTCAAGTGGCTAAATAGAAGCTGTCAGCCGGCAGCCACCACTGCTCACATTTGTTTAGATCCCAAATTACTTCATCAGAACCATCTGCTCCGTACGCGGGGCGCTCAGCAGTTGTTTATTTCTCTCTCTGGACACGGCGTGGGGCACAAACAGCCTCTCCCGTGGGACTCCCTGCGTAAGGCTCCTCCAGAGCCTGGGTCCCTCAAGTCCTCTCACTAGGAGCAACCTAACAAAGCCAGGCAGTGAACAGCCCTGGAGAGGAAGAGGGGACACGGATCTCTGTCCTGATGGACCAGGCAAGTTTGTGTTCCTCCCTGGTCCCACAGAGGGTCAGAAAGCTCCAAAGCACAGCGGGGATGTCCGCTCCTTGCTGGGATGTGCTAGCACAGCTCCAAACACCCACCCCCTTCCTCCCTCAGCTTCCTCAGCCCCAACCCAGGGCTGATCTTCCCTGCCCAACATCCAGCCGCCGGGACCTTCTTTGCAGGTTGTTCCAGACCAAGTGCAGCAGCTGCCTGAAGGCGATCGCCCCCTCCGAGCTCATCATGAGGGTGATGGAGAACGTCTACCACGTGCACTGCTTCTACTGCTGCGAGTGCGAGCGGCGCCTGCAGCGGGGAGACGAGTTTGTGCTCAAAGAGGGGCAGCTGCTGTGCCGCAGTGACTACGAGAAGGAGAAGGAGATGTTGAGCGCTATCAGCCCTGCGCCCACTGAGTCTGGTGAGGGGCTGGAGCCAAGGGTGGGGAACTGGGGTGGGTTCCTACAGAGGGCAGGTATTGCTCAGGCCTTAATTAGCTACAGAGAAGGCTGCGGAAGGGGTAGATGGAGGTAGATGGAGGTTTTAGCATCTCTTCCCCCTGGTGATAGGCAGGCAAGGGGGTACCAGGCTGCTGAGATCCACTCGGCCAATCTGGAGAGGTGTGGATGGGCTGAGACGTAGCAGAAGGAATGATACGGGGCCAGGCTGGCCCATCAGCGCTGTCTCAGAATTGACAGCGTTCCCCTGAGCCCCAGCTCGGTCCATGAGCTTTCCTGGCTTCACTCCACGCTTGTGCGTGGAGGTCAAAGTTATTGGAAGGTCAAAGTCATTGGAAGGTCAAAGTTCCTCTGGATCCTTGCCCTGGGAGATGGCTCGGGTAGGCGGCTCTCTGCTGAATCCCTGCTACCGATCTTCCGTTGCAGTGAAAAGTGAGGATGAAGATGGCAGCCACTCGCACGGCAAAGGCAGCGAGGAGAGCAAAGACCACAAGCGCTCCAAGCGCCCGCGCACCATCCTCACCACGCAGCAGCGGCGGGCGTTCAAGGCCTCCTTCGAGGTTTCCTCAAAACCCTGCAGAAAGGTATAAGGAGGGCGCTCCTTGGCTTGGATCCTTTAAAGTGCCACCTAAGTTCTGATTCAGCTCTCTGGGTTTTGTGGACAGGTGAGAGAGACCCTGGCAGCTGAGACGGGCTTGACTGTGCGGGTGGTTCAGGTCTGGTTCCAGAACCAAAGAGCCAAGGTGAGTGTTGGTTCCTGTGCCACAGCGGGGTTCTGCCTGCCTGTGGGATATCCCACATGCTCGTTCAGCTAAAAGGAAACGTAGAATAGCTTAAAAAAAATAAAAAAAAGTGAGAAGAACAGAAGAACAGCTCTGCAGGACCAAACCACAGGTTCCCCCTGGTCCTACAGGCCACTATCTAGTAGTAGCACAAGCTTAAAGAGAAATAGAAAAATCGATTCATTACAGATGTTTGCAGGGTGTAACATTTTGAGAACGGTCAGGGTTAGGTTAGTGGTTGGACAAGGTGATCTTCAAGGTCTTTTCCAACCTTGATGATTCTGTGATTTTCCACGTTGTGGGTTGTTTTTTTTTTTTCATTACTTTTTCTACTTTTCCCCCCTCACTATAGAAAGACTAGAAGGGTTTCCCACTTCTTTCTTCTAGAAGTTGAAACATTTCTAATTCTGCAGAACGGAAAGGGTGAAACCAGAAAATATGTGGCTTTGAAAAACCTCGCTTTGTAGTGATAAAAAAGCTGTTTGGTTTTTAAACTGCAAATGGCATCTCCCCCAGGGGTAATGGGGCCTTTTCTGCCGGCCCTGTTTCTCACGCAGAGCTGACTGCGGAGGAGTCACCCCGAGGAGTCTGAGCTGGGCTGTACCACGGCCGGGCTCGGTCTCTGTGCAAGGCAGGTGGCTGTGGCCACTGCTGTGTTAAACGTGACCCTCTCCCCTCCTCTCTAAGTCAAACCCTCAAACCCGGGGTCTCTGTCTCCCTGCAGATGAAGAAGATTGCCCGCAGGCAACAACAGCAACAGCAGCAACAGCAGGAGCAAGACCAGCTGGGCAACCCTCGCTTAGGGACAGGCCGAGGGACCGGCCGCAACAGCCGGCAGAGCAACGATGACAGCGAAGGTGAGGAGCCATGGCCCACGGTGACAGCTCTGGGGGCCACAGGCTGGGACGGAGGGGATTGACTCGAGCGAGAACGGGTGCAAGGAAGAGTTTAGCAAAAAGCAGGCAGGTTGTAACTGAATTGGGACGTACAGGCTGGAATAACTTGGTAACGTCCAGGCAGACTCCCGGGCACTCGTGATGCAGCACGTATCTCCTCGTTTTGAGAAGACGAGGGTTTTTTTCTGTTGCATGTATGCGCCACATACCACTGCAGCAGCCTCAATAATGTTCTTGTGACAGTGCTCTGCCCCAGCACGTGCCACGTGCCCTTTGCTTCAACCCATCCCACCGGTTGTGTCTTTAGACGGCGCGAGTGTTCACGGCCTGGATGGGCTCATGGTCCCCTACCCCAGGATCCCCCAGCAGCAGCTGCTGCCCCTGGACCAGAACGGCTACAGCACAGACTTGTACAGACAAGGGCTGACGCCGCCCCAGCTGCCAGGGGACCATCTGCACCCCTACGGTAGGAGAGCGGTGGGGAGATTGTCCTGTCTCTGCGTCAAACCTGCACGGAGCAGTCCAAGTCATGAAAAGCCAACTCTGCTGTGAGACAGCCCAGCAGCAGTGAGCGCTCCGCAGGACTTAGACTTTGGGCTGAGCCTTTCTCAGCAGTTTGGGGAGGCCAGAGCTCAGACTGAGCCCTGCTAAGGGCCAGGGAGCAGGGCTGGGGTCTTCCCTCCATCCAACGTGAAATCCAACTCAGAGAGTGGAATAGACTGCTCAAGGACTGTCTCTTA